TTTTCAGATTTTTTTTTTGTTTGTCTTTTGTCTCTTTCTTTTTTAAATTTTTGTGACCAAGAATTGCTGTCAAAAGTTAGTTCTTGGATTCTTCTATCTGTCATCATCATAAGATAAATATTTGTGAGGATTTTTTTGTTCATCCTTAAATCTAACAGATAATCATTTGATGGTTGCAAATGGAGCCGTTTGGATAGCGATGAAAGTTAAAGCATGATGGGATTCAGTTATTCCTATAAGATAGTTTTCAATATAATTCTTGGTTACTGCTCTTTGGCATCTAGTTTCCTTTAAGCCTAAGGATTAAAACTAGGTCAAAATTCCAATTGTATTACTATTATATTCATTGACATTTTGAAATTTTCTCTTTTGTACACAATTATGTTTTGAAAATTGGGACTTTCTCCAGGATTTCCTCATTTTTTAGAACACCGGTGTTCATTGCTTTTCAGCCGTCGAATATGTATCAGAATCTGTCTGTTCAGCATACTTTTTCAATCTGGTGTGATTTTGACTAAATCTAACGGCTGAAAAAACAATGAACACCGGTGTTCTCAAAAAAGAGGGACCACCAGAAAAACTCCCTTAAAAATTTTCAGTTACACGCACCCTCTGATCATCAAGTACCAAAATTTATACTTGTATTCTCATGTTATAATAAAATTATAACTATAGTCCACCCAATTAGAATAAAGTCCAAGACTATAGGCTCGTTCATTTCACTTATTTGAGTTTAGAATTCGAGTTTTGTTACAGTAAAAAGCTCTTAAAAACAGTCACATCCAACTTTTTTGCTACAATAAAAGGCTTTCACATAAAATAACATCTCAACTCAAATTAGCGAACTAAATAGGCTCATATTACTAAGAATTCTAGACTTGATCCATTAAAGAGAACACAAGGAAAAATAAAATAAAAGGAGAAAAAGATGATGGGTAAAGGAAAAAAAAAAAAACTAGTTTTATCAGTTTGTCTTAGTAAAACAAAACCTAGTTCATCATAGTTTTGTCACTACGAAACATCAACAAGATATAGTTGTCATACGTCTTATATATGTGTCAGTTTCCATTAAACAAAGAAAAAGGGTCTAATATGCCATCATAAATTTCATAGACTTTAGAATCAGAAGAGAGTAGATGGTCTATTTTCTTCGGGTGATATCAGTTCTCCTTAAACAAATCAGATGGTGGAAAAGGGTTTTAAAATGATATCTAGTATTTACTTAATGATATTTTTTTAAGAGAAAATAAACTACCGGTACTTCTTTAATTTTAGTTGATATGTATCAAAAATTATTAATTTTACATATTTTTTTTAATCTAAAATAATTTTAACTAAATTTAATAGTTGAAAACAATAAACTATCGATAGTTTATTCTTCAGGATACAGTAGAGAAGCTCCCTTACTTTCTTTCGTCCGAAAGGGTGTTCCCTACGAATAAGTGAATAACCATAAGAAACCAACAAAAAACAATAAGCATGACTAAGCAAAGATTGGTGTCAAAAGCACAAAGTCAGCAATATACGCTGGCCGCTACGGCTTAGATTCCAATTTATGTCTCCATTTGTGCTTCTAATCAAGTAAGTAACTATATGGCCCACGATCAAAAATTAACAAATTTTCACAAAGTTTGATTTCTTTTTCACTAAAGATTCTAAAACCCACTTGTTCAAGAAACCTTGGTCGGCGGCTTTTTGTGCCTCTTAACTCTCCTACCACGCAAGAAAACCATCCACAAACCCCTTAACTTTCTAAAATTATTTGAATTAATGTAGCCTAACCGCATTTTAAACGTGTAGAAAACTAGCTACAAGGCACAATTAGCTTGTTCAATTTCGATCCCAAATCCAAACCCTTGGTAGAACATTTAGCTTGTCACATGCATCTTGAACTTTAAAATTAACGTTTTTAGTAATTTTTAGTCGTATTTAGAATTGATCTCATTTTTATTTTTCACGTTTACGAGAAAGAAAAAATGAAAACCTTTTTAAAATGACATCTGGCACAATAAAGACAAAAAATAAAAATGAAAACGATTTTTTGATTTAGTATAAAATGAGAGAGAAATAAAAAATGACTTTTAGTCATTTTTCATTTTTTATTTTCATTTTCTCCTCTCTCGAGCAGAGAGAGAAACACATTAATGGGGTTTTTATACTGAAAATAATCTCTTAATAAAAATACCAAACGCATTTTTAAAAAGAATTTCTGTCTGAGATTGAAAACATTTTCATTTTCATTTTTATACAAAAAATAAAATCATTTAGGAACAAGCTCCAAACGCGCCATTTATTTCTTATATATTGAACTTTTGTAAATTACAAGTTACAATACATCCTGAATTTTTTAATTTCACAAGTTATTTATGCATTCAATAAAGTGTTATAGACAATGAGAACTATTAACATTCGGCTGAAAATGGTTTTGGGGTATTGCAAATGCAATTTATTTAATCCAAGGACTGATTTGTCGAAATTGAAAGTTCAATAACAATTCTTTAATTCACAAAAGGTTCGTTAGAGGGGAAAAAAACACCAAATACATTTTTATTAAGGGAGTTTTATACTTCTACCATGTGCTTTTTTTTATTTGAATTGTTTTAAAGTATGTTTTTTAACTTTGTTTGGGAGTTTCTTTAATATGAGTAGAAAAAATGAATTACCGGCAATGTTCTATTTTTAACCGTTAGATATGTATTATAAACTGTTTGTTCTCCATATGTTTTTATTCTGCTGTGATTTTGATTAAATTTAACGGTCATTAATAGACACTACCGATAGGGAGAGAGAAAGTCCTCTTTATTATACTAAATTGATGTAAGACAGAAAATTAGGAAATTCAAGTCTTGTTAGGATTTCTGTTTTATTTTATTATTGTCTATATTTAGTTTGAGTTTGTTTAGGATTTATTCTGATTAGGATGCTATCTATTTAAAATTTCATTTGAATTAAGATTCCTAAGTAGTTTAGGATTTATAAACCCATAAGTAAGGTTCTATTTTGTTTACTCAGTTAAGTTTTCATTATTGTTGTCAAATTTCACAAGAAAAGAGATCGTATCTGGGCATTGCATCTAGACTATTTGAATGTGATTTTTTGTCCCCTGATATTCTGTGGGTGTGGTGTTTGTCTCTCATTCATCTTTCTGAGATCTCATGAATAATGGAGATATTTGACACCCAAATCAAAATACACTTTTTTTAATGTTTATGCATGTAATTAAATAATTATCATTCCACATTCTGAGTCTCGTGAAGTTTGGTTCGATTTCTGTACAACTTTCTTCTGTTTTGTTTTTTGCTCTCTAATTAAGGTCAAATTGTCACACTTCAGGTTTTGGAGGATTTGTGGAATAGTAAATAACCATATGGATGTCTCTTCATTGGTTGACACAAAGAATCTTATTCTCAATGGTCCAACCCAAATAGGTACTTAGAAAAATATGTGATACCTCTTTCAAAAAGAAGAATTAGTGGCCTTGTTCTTTTCCCTAAGACAACCAACACCATTCTTTAGGTAAAACCGTGAACAAAGGGGCATTAAATATGTTCTGCAATCCTATCCAATGCAGTTGAGAACAATATTGGCAGAAGAATCTTTGTTAAATTATTATTATTATTATTTTTTTTTCATGTGCATCAAGACTCAAGAGACTTGTCATCAAGATTCGACAAAAGGTGGATGCAAAGTATAGTTTAATAGTAATTTCACATATGATTTTACTATAATATGGAGTTCGAATCTTCACTCTTAAATTTAAAAGAAAAAAAAATTCGACCAAAAAAAAACTTTTAGGCCATATTTGGTAATTTGTATTGTTGTATTATGTTGTATTGAGTTGTATTATCATAATACAATACGGTGTTTGGTGTCATGAAGTATTGTATAAAGGGTCAAAATGTAAACTTTTAATAATTTTGGAGTCAAAATGTAATTTTTGAAAAAATTTTAGGGTCAAAATATATTTTTAAAAGGTCTGGGGTCAAAATGAAATTTCATAAAAAATTCAGGGTCAAACTGTAATTTTGAAGTTTTGGGGTCAAAAATAATTTTGTAAAAGTTTTGGTTTTAAGGTCAAAATTTAATTTTTTTTTTTAAATAAATCTACATTGTGCTCCTCAATTTTTCAACAATTATAGACTCTGGCATTACTTTATGTCAGTCCAACCTCGATTCTTAGTCGTGTCCTGTCCGATACGAATCATTAATCCATTATAAAATAATATGATATAATATGCTAAAAATGAGCCGTATTTAATAATACGACATATGCTGTATTTATTTACCATCCATATTAGTTTATATAATACGATAGTCACACTAAATATTGTGTTATTATATTATTATACAATACAGTGCTCTAATACGGTCCAATAAATATGTCTTTATTATATTTATATATTGTTATAAGCAACCTCTACGATAGAACCTTTGTTTTTAATTGTTAGGTTACTTTTTCAACAGTCAGATTTACAGAAAGAATAGTTTTATGTGACGTACCGTAAATTTTTAATATTGATCTACGCATATCAGATTGTTGAAAATTTAATTGTGTTCCACCTGTGGAAGCTTTTGATGAGTTTCAATGTATAATTTGCCGTATATATTAAGTCCCTTTTTTGTTGTCTAAAAAAGATGGATGCCAGTGACGCCCACATGGTGTTTGATCTTTTGCCACTTTGCATCTTTCGTTATTCTAATACTTCATGTGCCCACCTACAAAGGATCTCTTCTTTTCACTTAGTCATGATTAGGTCGATAATGCCGAACCTCTTCTTCCCTTTATTAAAAAAAGAAACTAGTCTTTCCTTGATGCCATGAGATGGGAGAATTTTTCAAAAATTGAGAATTTTTTTTTTTTCTTTTGTTAAAGTTGTCTTTTTCCTTCTTAGGATGCCACAATCTGTCATGTGTGTATTTATACTTTGCGTCGTCTTTTTGCCCAAAAAAAAATGATTTGGCTTTTTTTATTATAATAATAATGATTAAAGCTTCGATACTGAGGAAACAATCAACGTCATCATTATATGGAATTAGATTAAGCTAAATATAGAAAGGTGTTAAGGGAAAAAGAAAAAGGAGAAAATATGATCATTATCAGATGGAACATTGATTTGCTTCATGAAGAAAAGCACAACCTCTCACAAAGCAAATTCTCTTTTGTTTGTTTTTGTCCCTCTTTCTCTCTATTTCACTTCAAAAGCTCTCGTTAATTTTTAACTTGTTGCATTACAGTTGGATCAGAAAGTAGCTCTAATATGGCCTATCTCTATCACAATTAGCTAGGGCTTATTATCATCAGAATGACTAATATTTATCTTTGAACTGCTTTCTTCCTGATCATCATCATAATCATAATCTATAGCGCCATTGATCAACGTAGAGACCTCAGTGATTCCACTACAACTTGACAACGAAGGCGTAGGTGGGCCCACAGAACATTTTGGCCTGGTAACCTCAGTCATCATGATATGCTTTCTCTCGCTGTTTGTCCCATTTTTCTTCTTTGGCCGTCTCTTCTTCTGAAACACTCCACATACAACCCAACACTCCTTCAACTCCATTGAAGATATCTACACATCCACATATATGGGGATCATAACATAATATTGTTAAACTTAAACAGACTAGAAAGAAAAACTAATAGATAGACTAAGCTCGTACCTAATATAAAATTATGATAAGACATAGATTACTATTTTTTTTTTTTTTTTTGCTTTGAAAAAAAAAAAACAAAAAGACTCAGTTGTGTCTTTATGCCCGAGCCAACAACCACCTTGGTAATCTCCTGGGATCACAAACAGAATGATAAGAAATTTGACTCATGCATCACCTAGCATTCACCGAGTCTAAAGTCATCTAAACCATAGACAGATAAGAGACATAATTTTAATATGACTATAAGAATCGATTTCTAGATGGTAGATGAGAGAGCCATAAGTCGTCCTCCACCGCTATGTCACCACTAGTTGTGGTGAGAGACATAATTTTAACCGCACTATAAGGAATTATAGATCGTCCTCGCCGCTATGCCACCACTACTTGTGGTGAGAGACAAATCGCACTATGAGAATCAGCCCCTAAGTATTAGGTGGGAGAGCCATAGATCGTCCTCTGCCACTATGCCACTACTAGTGAAGAGAGACATAAGTTATGAGAATCGCTCGCTAAGTGCTAGATTGAGAGAGCCACAAATCGTCCTCCGCTGCTACGCAACCCTTACCCACGCTCGCCGTTGCTTTGATTTGTTTTACTTGAAACGAGTGCTTTATAATTGAGCATCGTTATTAATCACCATTGATATTGATATGTGGTGGGAAAAAACTGCTACATGTGATTGTATGAGCAACGGTGAAAATTATATATGTGGTTATGTATGGATGTACCAGATGAACTGAGTTAGGAGTTGGTCCAGGACGGACAAGGTGAAATTCATGCATGAGCCAGCGATGATTATGATGATGATGATTATCAGGACGGTTTCCTCCACAAAACACCATGGTTTTCCTGATTCCAACTGGTTGGTTGTTCAACTCAGAAGCCACGATTAGCCTCTCCTTCCCAATGGGTTTCCAGTAGCCAGAACCAGCATTAACTCTCTTCTTGCTCATAATATTAACATCCCTCTTTTGCTTGTGAAAAAAGTACCTCTTTTCCTTCACTTCACCTGATGAATATCAATCACACATGACAAAATTTTTAGCACGATGGGTTTTTTTTTTTTTTTTTTTTCAAACCAAAAGAAAAAAAATGGGATAATTTAACATAAAAAAAAAAAAAAAATTACCTGGCAAGGTCCAAGGATCAGTTTGGAAGACATCGAAGTCAGGAATGACCAAAGCAGGCAAAGGAATGGAAAAGACCTTCCTCTTCAGGTAATGAACCACGAGCTCTTCATCGGTCGGCCGAAATCTGTAGCCGATGGGCAATTTTAGGCCTCCACTACTCATTAACAACTTTTGTTTTTCTTCCATTCCTAAAAATAATCAACCCCACCTTACAAACGTTGAAAAACTTTCCTTAAAAAAAAAAAAAAAAAAAAAAAAAAAACTTTTGCAAAGCCAAATATATATGAGGATTAAATCTGAAGAAAAAGAGAATGAGCAAGAAGAGCAAGGAGAAGAAGAGAATTGATTTGTATGGTTGGCATAGAACGGCCGTGTTTTGTTATTTATATATAGATGGAGAGAGAGAATGGAAAACCCAAAAACTCCAACTCCTAATAGGACTCGGAGACCTTTTCCTTTTCCTTGACTCGGCAAAATAGAAATGTGAAAAGGAAATCCAAGTCCTACTCGGACTCAGAAACCTTTTTAAAGCTTTTATTGTCGCTTTTAAGATAAAATTATATTTTAGCCCCTCAATTATAAGGCTTTTAAGTGATTGACCCCTTCTAAAGAACATTTTGGCATATAGCTTCTCATACTTTTCCGATTTTGGCAATATCAACCATTTGCTAACTTCTGTTTCAGCAAAAATAAATAATAATAATGATTAAAATAAATTGCTTACTTTTTTAATGGAGATCATTACGTAAAAAATCACAATGAGTTTTCTTAGATTCCGGTATGGCTTATAAACAGTATATTTGCAGGATTAATTGTGATAAGAGTTACTTATTTAAAAAAAATAAAGAATTAACTGTGATTCAATTCTTGAAATATAATTGATTTCACTTTGGGCTCTAACTTTTAAAATATCTCATCAAAATTTTACATTACTAAGTTGCCCTAAATAAATCATTCTATCAAAATATTAAGATCTCGACAAAAAATGACACGGTGTACTTTTTAACAATCATGCCTGACATGTAAATTTATAAAATTAACTTCTACTAAATCACAAAAGGTCCTCAAATTTATTTTTTCTTCTAGATTTTAAAGTCAGTTAATTGGAGTTTTTTTTGTAGGCTTTAAAAATTAGAGATTAAAATAGAATCCAGTCTATAATTTAATGAAAGAAAGGACTAACCCTAAAGTAAATTAAAATATTTCGGTAAATTTTAAAGTAATTATTACAAGACCAGTTTATATAAGAAAAGGAGAGAAATTAAAATATATTGATGAAAAGTTTTCTCTTTTTTTGGACAAAAGATAACATTCGATCATTCGATCTCATGCGACAAGCTCTATTAAAAAAGTTTAAAAAAAATTAACAAATTGCAAAACAATGGAAAGTTGGGGAGAATGTGCTTAAGATTGGTAAATATGATAAGAAAAGTGGCAAAGGCAGTTTAACTGAGGAGGTAGAGTGCAATTTATTTAATTTGAAAATTGAAAATAATAAAATAAGAATAATAATAAAATGGAATTTGCGTAAGTGAGGTTTGACGGTCGTTGGTTAATTCGGAAACGTGTAGGACATCAAAAAGGACAAGAAGTTCCACGCTTGGGAGTTGGCCTTTTTTGGGTCAACAGATCAACTCGTGTACTGTGAGACCCATGTGTGCCACGTTTTCCCCCAAAATCCATTTCTAATTATTTCTCATTTTGACTTTACTACATCTTTCCATATATATAATATATATTTTTTTAATCTTTACACTTCAAACAAATAATTTGTTCAAGATAAATACTTTGGTAGTGTTTAAAAATACCTAATATCGATATCAAGTCATTTTAAACCGTTAATTTTTTTTTGTTAAATTTGTGTTCATTTTTTGTTTTAATAATATTTGTATGATGTCATCAGTTTAAAATAGCACAATATTAGTTTTTTTTTTTTTGTTTTTGGAATTTATCTTCTGTATATCATGATTCTACATAGTGTAACATGTAAAAGTTAAGATTTTCCATAAATTATATAATAATGTTTAGCTTCCATATAGTTATATAATTTATACAAGACCAAGATAGATTATAAAAAAATAAAGAAATAAAGAGGAAATTAAGAAGAAGAAGAACAGAAAAATTGAAAGAAGAAATAGATGGATTTAGATAAAAGAGAGAACAATGTAGAGGGAATATTTGTACTTAGCTAATCATCAAGGTCTTTTTTTCCCCCTTTTAAACTTTCTTATATATGTTTATAAGCAAACATATATTCTTTTTTTTTTTCCCCGTAACTATTACATAAAATCAGTTTTTTATCAATGAAAATTATTGAGTGATTTTCTCCCAATTTAACATCTATTTGTAATTAGAGAATGAGATTATGCGTTTAAACTCTTGTACGCATACACTTTTAACTGTTGCCTAAATATATCCAAGCACCTAGCTTGTTTAAAATAATATCTTATTGTGTTTCTCAACAAATTTTGCTCTCATATATATGTAGCTTATCAGTGATAAGAAAATAATAAATATAAAACTCAATGTTAGTCCACGTCTTAGGAGACATGATAATTTAATTGAAATATAGCATATGAATGAGAAAAACTATAGCAATTTTCCTATGACTTTATTGTCTAATTAATATAGGTTACTTAGAATACTAAATTTATATTCTCATTTGCCTCTTCTTAATGGACAATATATAAACATAGTGCAGATTTCTGTTTGAAGTTTGAACCAAAAAAATGGCTGGCAGAAGAATCAACCCATTCTTTCTTCTTCCTTTCTTCTTACTCTTTTTTTTTTTAATAACAATAATAATAATGCCCTAAGTCAACCACGATGATAATGCTAATGATCAAAATATGGACATATACACGCCATAAGAAATTAATAATTATCCAAAACAAATAACATATATATATATATATATATACGTATATATACAAGACAAAAAAAAGAAGAAAAAACACCTCGTTGTGCGTTTGAAACATTGAAGAACAGAACACCCAACACCGTACCTTAAGAAGCGTGTTTTGAACGCATAGATTTTGATTTTGATTTTTTTCAAGTGTGTTTCGTTAAGCACGTACTTATCTGGACTTTGAAAAAGACAAATCAATTATATATATATATATATATATATATATATATATACACATATGTATGTGTGTGTGTGCGTGTGTATTCTCCATGTCGTGGGGGTTGCTGTTTTTCTTGGAATTGAGTCAAATCAGCTGCTGCGAGATTCGCTATCATTGATGGCCGTGATTTACTAGTGTTTTCCTCCTTAATCAACATTATCATCTCACCCTTCTTTAATTAATGGCCTCCATTTAGTTTTGTTCTTCAAGAAGCCTTAGCTGTTTTGTTCTTTCTCGTTTCCCTAATTTATTTATTTTTCTTTTTAGAATAAAATATAGGTGCTGGATTGTCTACGCATTGACAGAAGCATCATCTTTTGATTATGAATAATAATAATAATCTTTGCTTGTAATTAATGTTTCCATGCAGCTAGCAAAATGTGTAAAATCATGTCAAGTTGTGAGTAATAATTGCTTATCATTTTTACGATCATTAGTTTAGAAGTGTATCGTAATTAAGAGTACCCTTAAGTCTTAAACTCTGCAAATCAAGCAAACGGGCAAAACATAAATTTTATGTGGTCACCAAACCATGCTTACCGTTAGTGATTAAAGGAGATATGGCAATAGAAAATAAGAGCTCATGAATATTAATAGCGAGACAAGAATTCAGGGACCGATGCAAATATTAAACCTAATTTATTTTGTTATTACTTTTTTTAACATATTTTGTTAGAATTAGTATAATTTTAAATGGGGGTTTATCCTCTTTCAAAAAAAAAAAATAATAATAAATAAAATGGGGGTTTATAACCTAGATCATTATAAGTAGCATTTTCCTCAAGGTGTAAATTAATTGAAGATTCCAAAAACGTAGTCACCTATTTCCATTGATAGCCATTAGCCATTGCCAAACCGTGAAGATGTAATTTGGTCACAGAACACTTGCAAAATGCATTGTGGCTACTGGCTAACCTAACCTTAATAGTTCTTTTTTCTTTTTCTTTTTGTTGGGAGAGTGGAGTAGTGGAAGTGTAACTTTATTTTTTGTTCGTTTTATTAATTCGAATCACAGCTCATATTTTTACTGTAGTATTTTCTTTCATAAAAATTTTTGTGTTACAATATTTTTTTTAAAAATAAATTCACTTTTTAATTCAAATTAAAAAATTGAACTAACCAAACAATTAAGGCCTTCATACTCGGACTCTAGAAAGTATTATTAGGGAGGGGAAGGCTAAGAAAGTAGCCAAAATCTAGACCTTTATGCTCGAGGTGACTTTCTTTTAGTCCTGTTTCAATTTGCCCCAGTTGTAGCTCATTAGGGCTAGAATAAGGTAATGGGATTAGCTAGTCTAGTTTAGGATATTAAAATTCCGAACCCAAACAATTTAAAGATTGACCAAGAACCAATCTTGTAATCATGTCAAATTTGTACGGATGTAAAACTTTACTAGGGCTCTGTTTAAACATACTCCATATATAGTTCGCTTCATGATGATGGTTATAATGTTTATACATCTATTTGGTACGAAGCAAAATATTGTTTAGTTATATTGATAAATCTTCATTAGAATCTGTCAAACTTGCATATAAATTAATCATCATATTCTTTTAATATGATTTAACATTTTAAAATAAATAACATCAGTAAAGATACTTTATATATTACACTTGTTTGCTACGAGTACTTCAAAAAGGTGTTTTTTTAAATAAGAAATAGTACCACCATTATCTTGCAAAGAAGAAAGCATTTTCAATTAACTGAATCAATACCGTTACCTTTTTTTTTTTTTTGGGTAAATATATACGGATTCTGTTTCCAGCTTATGAGATATTGCTTTACCATGGGTTAATATTATTATTAGCAATATCATGTCCAAATAATTTGTTCCAACAAGTCACGTAAGAGAGCACTTAACTTCAAAGAATCAAATGCTTGTGTTTACACATGCATATATAAAAGTGGATTGATTCTATATATATACGAAAAGCAATTATACAATATCTTAGGTTTCTTGTTGATAAAAAGGTCCTGCGGATCTATGTTGATTGTATCTGACGTTACTTGGTATAAGTTTATTAATTACTTCAATTAACAAAAAGTAGCCCATTTTTTTGGACTGCTGTGTTTCTTCATGGTTACTCTTTATATCTTGAAGTAGATATCTCTCTGTTTATGTATATAATATACATACATACATATATATATATATATGGAATCAAAATCCTAAATATATTATATCTTATAGATGTGTGTGTGTATGTATTTATATATACGCATGCATGCATCTATGTATACAAGGTAAAGAAATTTATTGGGCAAAGAAGCAAAGCTATACAGTATACAGCAAGATACAATATGCAAGAAATAGATCATATATTAAAGCTACAAAAATCACAAATTGGGTAGCAAAGAAAAATCAGATTAGGAACAGAAATAACAAACAGAGACGCAATAATCAAGCCGAAAAAATCTATTGGCCAATTCTCAACAGTTCGACGACACCAATTCTCAACAGTTTTACTAGTTTCATTCTAATATTATTAGGGATTTGAGAAAAAAAAAAAGAAAAAAAAAGCTTTTAGGGAGTAGTTGGGAGGTCCAATCTTTAATCTTTAAGTTCTTTTTCATTTTGAATTTGATGTCGTTTTCTAAATGTTTTCCTCTGATATTCTGGATGTATCAGCAGTCTCTTGTGTTGCTGTCGGGATTAACATTTTTTTTCCCCGTTTCTCAATGTTGTTGCTGTCTTCTGCTATTTTGCCGTTTTGCGAGTATTGTCGTTTTCTGATTTGTTAGTTTTCGATGCTTTTGTCTTAAATTTTGTTTTCTGTTATATAATTTATTATTGTTTATTACTTGACGTTGCTTTTCAAAATTTTTTTTTTCTTTTTTAGGTTACCGACTTACCGTCATTATCATGTCAAAATTTGGACGCCGTTGTCGTTACTTGTCGTTTTATGTCTTATTTTGGATTTTTATTGTCGTTTGCAAAAGGATGTCGTCTCAATCTGTTGTTTTTATCTAGTTGCTGTCGTCCATTTTGACCTTTATCGGCTATTAGTTTGTCATTTTCGATCTTTTTATATTTTTGAACATTTCGGCGTTTTTCATTTTGTCGTTGTTTTAATAAATAATTTATTGCCGTTTTAATCGATATTGTCGTTTTCCTTTTTCTTCTTTTTTCTCCCAGTTCTTAGACGTTTCATTTTCCAATTATTTTGTCCTTGATAAATAATAAACCTTGTTCTTTACCAATTAATCGTAGTTTTCCAAGCTCTTTATTCAGCTTGTTATTGATATGAAATTATCATTGAGTTTTCCAATGTTATTTTAAATGTTTACCTACATTTTTCTCGTTGATTAAGAAAAATAAAAAAACCTTTAACATCGTTTTTATCTTTACGTCATTTTAGACATATGTCGTTTTTACATCTTACCGTCGTTTCTGAACCTGATATCGTTTTTTCTTGTGGTTTCTCTCATAAGTTGCTTTCTACCTTGAATTGTCAATGTCGTATTTCCGGGGAAATTGTAATTAGACATAACATAAAAAATACTTCAATTGCGGTATATGTGAAGAAATGGTGTGTTTTCTCTTCGCTGGTTTTCATTTGCTTACCTTGTCTTCGGAAAGTTAAAGTTTTGTTCTCTTTTTCGTTACAAAAGCTGTTTTAGAATAAAATGTTTTGCTGTTTCATCTTATAAGCCCAGTCAAAAAATAACAAGAATTCTGTCATTTTTTTTTTTTTTTTTTTTAGGATAAGAATTCTATCATTTGGTATTTAGTTTTCACCTTAGTTTCTCCTGTGCTCACCATTATTGAGATGTATTTTCCTCCACAAGTTGAAGTCCAATAAAAGTTTGGAAATTTGAAAAGACTATCCAACGACAACTTATAATCTTAAGCAAGCCAACATCATTTGTTGATCTAGCAACAATTATCTTGTATTATGAGTATAGATGCCTCTCAATTTCTCTAGGATTCTGTCGTATTGTTGGAAAACCCCCAAGTTTCACCTTTTTATTTTATTGTCGTTTTATGATGTATCGTTTATCAATTTTTGTCGTTTTAAGTTTGTTGTCTGATCGATTGAAAATTTGATGTCGTTCTTTTAGTATTAATTATTTTCGTGTTTAATTCAATGTAATTTTTGAACATTTTGACTTTCATTTGTCCCCTTTTTTTTGTCGTTTGTAATGTTTCATCCCTTTCCATTCTTTGTCGTTTATCAGACTTTTCCAGTTTTTAATAGTTCAATTTGTCACGCTTTATTAATGTTCTCGCTCTTTATATCCGTTGTCGTTTTTATGTTAATGTCGTTTTCTAAATGATGTTTTATTTTGCACTTCTTGTCGTTTATCAGATGTTTCTCTGTTTCTTTGAAATATTTTAAGTTCTCATTTCTGGAGAAACCATAATCAAGCACAAGAAGTAATCAAAATATTTCACTTACTATATTAAAGTTCATGAGTAAACCACATCTAGTCAAAACATATCAAAACTTTATTTTCATCTTAGATATCTTACATGCGTTTTTCTTTTCTTTCACTCTCCAGAATTTAGGGTTTTGTTCAATCTGGACAAACGTCCAAAAAAAAACAAACAAAAACAAAATAAGAAACTTAGAGTAGAGCAGAATCCGGAGGAAAAGAAAGATGCCCACCATTGTTGTATTGACTTCTGAGGAACTCAATTATGAGAAAATTTTGTGCAGCATTGCTAAGTATGACCACAATAAAGGTGGAGAAAAAAACACAGAAAAATAAAGACGAAAAAAGGGTAAAAAAAATCAGGCTCAGCAGTGTACTAGTGTACTTTGTACATAAATAATAGTGTAATGATTAATATCAAATCTGTATCAATTCAGGAATGAGCTTCAACAGGAAGGAAAGCTCCTGCTCTGTAAACTTGGGCTTTGATTTGGCAGAATCAACACTATTCTCCTCCTCATCATTTGAAGGCTTCATCAAATCAGAAATTGATTCTGTAATTTCTTTGACAAGATCAACTATCACTCCATCTATTCCCATCAGGTGTTGCATGTAAACCGCTTCAGCTACATTACTGCACCATTCACCATTATAATGTATAAGAACTTAATTATTAATCTTAATCACAAAATTATTAATCTTTAAGTAGCAGTGTTAAGAGACTTACTTCAATTTGCCGTAGGTAAGGAGGGAAAGTTTGGAGTCTTTGATTTTGGGTACTGCTCCTGGATTTCTGAAAACTCCTTTAACCTCTGAGACTATTCCTTGGAGACCACCTTCCAAACACACCTTTATGGCTTCCTCCAAGGAATTCCTCCTTACATCATAGAAAATCTCTGTTCCACCATTTGTCAAAAAGAATACCTGCCATATTCACCGACAATACTTGGTTAGTAAATTTGGCATCTCTCTCTCTCTCTCTCTCTCTCTCTTCCAATTGGATCATGATGCTTACAGGATATTTGTCCTGAAATTTTCTAATAAGCAAGGCTGCATCAGGATGGAAGGATGAGAAGATGATTGGTCTGTCCTTGGCATAACCAAACACAACCTGTTCCAATAATAAAGTTCACTAAATTAAACAAACTAACAATGTTAAAAAAATAAAAAAAAAAAATACAAAATGAGTATTGAAATAATATCATACTAGTATTGTACAAGTTTTGAGCAGCAAATTACAACAAAATTTCATATGAAAAAAAAAGGTAAAAGTTTAAGGGAATTGGCACCTGTAAGACGACTTGAAGGACGTGGATGAAATAGTCTTGGTCATAGACAATGTGGTCATCAAATTTCAACTCAACGTTGAAACCCAGAGAAGGTTCAACACTGAGGAAGGCTTCTTCGAGTGTACAGAGAAAGTCATCAGTTTCAACATTCCACTCAACAATTTTGCCATCTTTGGTCTTCCTAAGCAAGGCGTTTCCATGTTTCCCTGCCTCTTTTTGAGGACCATAGCATAAGAACTCCGACACACGCAGATCTGTAATTCTCTCCTCAAACACAGTCCCCTGTATCACACAAGTCCATAACCAAATTATATATATATATATATATGTATGTATGTATATATTTATATAATATACATATAAGAATTCTATCATTTGGTATTTAGTTTTCACCTTAGTTTCTCCTGTGCTCACCATTATTGAGATGTATTTTCCTCCACAAGTTGAAGTCCAATAAAAGTTTGGAAATTTGAAAAGACTATCCAACGACAACTTATAATCTTAAGCAAGCCAACATCATTTGTTGATCTAGCAACAATTATCTTGTATTATGAGTATAGATGCCTCTCAATTTCTCTAGGATTCTGTCGTATTGTTGGAAAACCCCCAAGTTTCACCTTTTTATTTTATTGTCGTTTTATGATGTATCGTTTATCAATTTTTGTCGTTTTAAGTTTGTTGTCTGATCGATTGAAAATTTGATGTCGTTCTTTTAGTATTAATTATTTTCGTGTTTAATTCAATGTAATTTTTGAACATTTTGACTTTCATTTGTCCCCTTTTTTTTGTCGTTTGTAATGTTTCATCCCTTTCCATTCTTTGTCGTTTATCAGACTTTTCCAGTTTTTAATAGTTCAATTTGTCACGCTTTATTAATGTTCTCGCTCTTTATATCCGTTGTCGTTTTTATGTTAATGTCGTTTTCTAAATGATGTTTTATTTTGCACTTCTTGTCGTTTATCAGATGTTTCTCTGTTTCTTTGAAATATTTTAAGTTCTCATTTCTGGAGAAACCATAATCAAGCACAAGAAGTAATCAAAATATTTCACTTACTATATTAAAGTTCATGAGTAAACCACATCTAGTCAAAACATATCAAAACTTTATTTTCATCTTAGATATCTTACATGCGTTTTTCTTTTCTTTCACTCTCCAGAATTTAGGGTTTTGTTCAATCTGGACAAACGTCCAAAAAAAAACAAACAAAAACAAAATAAGAAACTTAGAGTAGAGCAGAATCCGGAGGAAAAGAAAGATGCCCACCATTGTTGTATTGACTTCTGAGGAACTCAATTATGAGAAAATTTTGTGCAGAATTGCTAAATATGACAAAAATAAAGATGGAGAAAAAAACACAGAAAAATAAAGACGAAAAAAGGGTAAAAAAAATCAGGCTCAGCAGTGTACTAGTGTACTTTGTACATAAATAATAGTGTAATGATTAATATCAAATCTGTATCAATTCAGGAATGAGCTTCAACAGGAAGGAAAGCTCCTGCTCTGTAAACTTGGGCTTTGATTTGGCAGAATCAACACTATTCTCCTCCTCATCATTTGAAGGCTTCATCAAATCAGAAATTGATTCTGTAATTTCTTTGACAAGATCAACTATCACTCCATCTATTCCCATCAGGTGTTGCATGTAAACCGCTTCAGCTACATTACTGCACCATTCACCATTATAATGTATAAGAACTTAATTATTAATCTTAATCACAAAATTATTAATCTTTAAGTAGCAGTGTTAAGAGACTTACTTCAATTTGCCGTAGGTAAGGAGGGAAAGTTTGGAGTCTTTGATTTTGGGTACTGCTCCTGGATTTCTGAAAACTCCTTTAACCTCTGAGACTATTCCTTGGAGACCACCTTCCAAACACACCTTTATGGCTTCCTCCAAGGAATTCCTCCTTACATCATAGAAAATCTCTGTTCCACCATTTGTCAAAAAGAATACCTGCCATATTCACCGACAATACTTGGTTAGTAAATTTGGCATCTCTCTCTCTCTCTCTCTCTCTCTCTTCCAATTGGATCATGATGCTTACAGGATATTTGTCCTTTTCTATTCTAATAAGCAAGGCTGCATCAGGATGGAAGGATGAGAAGATGATTGGTCTGTCCTTGGCATAACCAAACCTGTTCCAATCCAATAATAAAGTTCACTAAATTAAACAAACTAACAATGTTAAAAAAATAAAAAAAAAAAATACAAAATGAGTATTGAAATAATATCATACTAGTATTGTACAAGTTTTGAGCAGCAAATTACAACAAAATTTCATATGAAAAAAAAAGGTAAAAGTTTAAGGGAATTGGCACCTGTAAGACGACTTGAAGGACGTGGATGAAATAGTCTTGGTCATAGACAATGTGGTCATCAAATTTCAACTCAACGTTGAAACCCAGAGAAGGTTCAACACTGAGGAAGGCTTCTTCGAGTGTACAGAGAAAGTCATCAGTTTCAACATTCCACTCAACAATTTTGCCATCTTTGGTCTTCCTAAGCAAGGCGTTTCCATGTTTCCCTGCCTCTTTTTGAGGACCATAGCATAAGAACTCCGACACACGCAGATCTGTAATTCTCTCCTCAAACACAGTCCCCTGTATCACACAAGTCCATAACCAAATTATATATATATATATATATATGTATGTATGTATATATTTATATAATATACATATAATAAGAGAATTAAGTGAAAATAAGATAAATTATTCCAAGTGGGGCTTACGTAATTATCTCTGGAGAGGATGAAGTCGTCATGGAATATGACTGGGCAGTCATATATATATATATATATATGTATGTATGTATATATTTATATAATATACATATAATAAGAGAATTAAGTGAAAATAAGATAAATTATTCCAAGTGGGGCTTACGTAATTATCTCTGGAGAGGATGAAGTCGTCATGGAATATGACTGGGCAGTCGTCCTTGGTCACCTACAATTAACAAAAACATGTACAACCATGTTGGTTTTTGCAGTTCCGGTTTTTTTTTTTTTTTTTTTCCTTCTTCATCACCGCACTTAACTTGTTTTAAGGCAAGTTGCAAAACGTTTTAAGAAAAGGGAGAGGAGGAAAAAAAAAAAGGAAAAGACAAATCATATCAGTACCCTTCTTAAAGTATTAGGAAAAAAAAGCACAGAATTTACTAGGAAATATGGAGGAAAAGTATACGGTAAAAGGTAGATTTCAGGAAAATGAAAGTAAATAAATAAAATGGGGATATTTATATTTTTATATCATGTATTTTAAGTTTATTGAAAAATTATATATTTTTAATTTTTAATCTCATTAAATATATACTTTTAAATTAAATTTAATACTCAAATTTATACATTTTTACAATCAATTCTCAACTTTAAGCATATTTATCTAAATAACCCTTAAATAAAAATAGAAGAAGAAAAAAAAAACTAAAAAAAACTTTAAACTTATGGTTTTAACCTTAAAAAAATTGAAATGAGGTTTTTTGTGTTTTCAATATTTATTTTTGTAATATTGGAAAACTTTAATTTTATTTTCTATCTTTTTTTAAGATAGTTTAGTCATTTTAAAAGTTAAAATCAATTATTAATCGAAATAATAGATTAATTTGTATATTAAATTTAACTTAAAATATATATTTAATTAAATTAAAAATTAAATATATAGAATTATAGATTTTGAATAAATTTAAAACAAGATATAGAAATATAAATATTCCAATAAAATATTGAGATTGCTGAATAAAAAAAATAAAAAAAAATAAAATATTGAGAATACTAGTAAAATTACTAAAAACACCCTGGACAACAGAGGAGGCCAAATGAGGTAAACGACCGGTGGGTGGGCGGGGCCATAAAAACTGTACGGAAAAAAAGAAAGAGAGAAAAAATACGACCGACCGTACGCGGAGAGCGTACAGCGGAAGAATCACGTGGTGCATAAAGTTCCGATGAATTCGGAGGTCGGAGATTGGGACTGACCTGAACGTCGAACTCGATAAAGTCAACGGGAAACGCTGCGGCGGCGTTGAAGGAGGCGATGGAGTTCTCCTTGATTGCTCTCATTCTTTTGTCCGACGACTGCAACACGTTCATTCCGTTTCCTCTGTGCCCTATCACCATTAACCTCGGATTTCTTTTCTTTCCCAATTCCACCCCTACATTATTATTATTTATGCATAAATCCAAATCATTAAACCCCTTAATAAATTTTTTAAAGAAAAATGAATGAAAATCTGACGGTTTAAAACTGCGTAAAAATTATTACCTTTGGGAAGGCTGGTGGAGTAGAGCGAAAGAGAAGGGTTTTCCGGGACATGGTCGAGGTTAGGGACGTCGGAGACGTGGACGGCTTTCAGAGCCATTATTATTTTTCTTTAAAAGAAGGAAAAAAAAAGTCTCAAAGAAAGAAGAAGAAATTGGCGATTGATTATATTTTTTTTGTGAGAATAATGTGGTGGTTGTGGTGGAGGTGGAGGTGGAGAAGGCTATTATATACATACATATATATTTAAGGAGAAGAAAGGGATCTGGGTGGTAGAGTTTAAGAATATTCTTTTATGAGTTTCCTTTTCCTTTTCGTTTTCCAAGTCGTGTTTCTATTTCTCCATTGTCATATGCTTTTGGATATTCCTACTCGTTCTTCACGCCGTCAACTTTTTTCTTTTTGTATGTTCCGTCAAAATCTAACGGGACACGGGAGTTAATGAAATAGTTTGTTGTTATGTGTCCTAAATCTAATCCTGCATGGTTTCTAATTTGGATCGGGTACTTCCAGTACTAGGATTTTGCGTTTTTTGTTTGTCCTAGTCAGATCAAACTCGGTTTCCTTTCCTAATCTTCTCCGCAAATCAAATAACATCACGCGCTTAACCAACGCCCGTGACTTGGAGTTGGCGTCTTTCCTTATCTCAACATCTTGACTTTTCATTCAAACTTAGATTTGGGAATTTCTATTATGGTGTGCCCTCATTCTTGGGTTGATTGACGTTAATAGTATAATTTGAATATAACGGTGTTTATGAAGTGAGTGTAAAGATATTATTCAATTCCATGTAGAGATTTAAATCTTATAAGTATAATTAATGGCCCTATTTAACCTATAATTGGAGGCACTTAGCTTTATCTTTAACTATTTTTTAAAATGATTTATCAAGGTATCTCAGTGTATAATTCTCAATATTTACAGTTTCATCAAATAGTAGAATTTAACTTAAGTTTTTGTTAAATTTTACGTTCTTTTAGCTTCAATAGTAATTTAATATATATAATTTAGCTGCTCGAATTACACGTATTGATGAGGTAACTTTTTAAATTGTATAAAATAAAAAAATAAAAAAAAGAAATTATATTTGGACGCGCCAACTAAGAGGTGGAAAATAGAGAGGCCGTGTTGAGAAGTACACCGCATGAGCTTGGTGTGGAAGCTGGTGGTTGGGTTTTACCTTTTATTATTTATATAATATCATATTCACGTTCGACCGTTTGAAAATTAAAACAGTAAGGTCGTTCTGGAATAACGGGAAACGAATATCCAATCGAATATGTCCTTAATTATTATTATTATTTTTTTTTTAAAAAAAAGGAAAGAAAGAAAGAAACAAGTGCAAATTCGTGAGTGAGATTGACCCACAAAAAAAAAAAAAAAAGGAAAAAAGACAAAAGAAAAACCGTGTAATTGAGTCATGGCCAGCTCTCCTTTCATCTGATAACGCCGCGTGCTTGGCGCCAAGGTGTTAAGGGGAATTATTGCACGTCACAACTTCACAACATTTTATGGGCTCTCAAAGTACTCAAATGTCAAATCCATGTTATAAATCTTCTAATTATAGGATTCTAATCAAGTCTTTTACAAAGATACTTGTATATGATCGGTATTTCCATTCAAGCATTCTAATTGGTGAACCTTTTTAAAGTATTATATTTACCAATTGAAAACAACCCATTTATTAAGTATAAACACTTAACTTGAAATCTCCTAATAACATTGTCTTTTATTTTTTAATTAAAATATACTTCTAAATTACTACTTTAACAACATTTGATCAAGTTGTGCCAACAAAACCAAAGTGGTTAAACTTTTTTTTTTTTAAAAAAAGACCTAAAAAATGGGAAAAGAATGGGATGGAGTGGGTAAAGATACATGAATGAGGTGTAAACACGGCAGGCTTATGTGTCTTGGACAAACAATCCACATATTTTAATAGATGAGGAGAGAAGGCATTCAGACGTTTGATTTTTTGTTTAAAATACAGCATTGAGATGTTATATATATTCACACACCCTCAATCATGTATCCACATTGCTACCTTTGGAAGTTTCCTTTCTATCAATTTCTCTACTGCCACATTTCCTATCTGCTAGCTATAGTACTAGTTCATGAGGTGAAGAATCATGAATGTTTCAAAGTCGTCTATGATTTTGATAGATAAAATATTCTCAATGAAGGAACGATATGAAAGTTTTATAAAAATAAAATTATTGTTTTGGTCCAAATTATTAATTTACATGTTGTGTTATGTGTCTAGCAACAAATTAATTGTTATTATCTTTAGCATCACCTATCTCTTATCTGCCATGGATCGACCAAGTTCATGAGTTTGAAGAATATAGAATTATTCAGAGAAGTCTCTGAGTTGGATATATAGATGATATAAATTCTCATCACATTATAATATAAATACAAAAGAAGTGACATGTTCATGACTAATTTAGAAGTGTCAAAATTCTAATGAGTCTCGTAAAAATAAATCCGTATACGTGTAAACTATTTTTCTTGATGTACGTAAGACTTTTATTTTTTGGGTTATGCCACGTATATAATCATTTTCTAATGCATAAAGTGCAACTTTGGGAGGGGCACAACCGGCTGCATAGCCAATGGTGTCAAAACAGCCATGCTGGACAAGCACGACCCTTCTGACCTAAGCTCGTCACGGGTCTGGATTGGCACAAGCACGACCCTCTACAGTAGAGGGTCGGGCTTGGACCGGGCCTGAGGGAAGACCCTCAGGCCCAGCCCTTCATGGACCAGCCTTACTAATGGTCCCAGCCCTACTAACGGTCCTGCAGGACCTTCATAGGGCTGGCCCTACTAACGGCCCTGCAGGACCGTCATAGGGCCGGCCCTACTAACGGCCCTGCAGGACCTTCATACTATGGTCTTGTAGGACCTTCATAGGCCGGCCCTACTAATGGTCCTGCAGGACCTTCATACTAATGATCTTGCGGGACCTTCATAGGGCCGACGCTACTAATGGTCCTACAGGACCTTCATAGGGTCGGCCCTACAAATTGTCCTGAAGGACCTTCATAGGGCCAGCCCTACTAATGGTCCTGCAGGACCTTCATACGGCCGGTCCTACTAACGGTCCTGCAGGACGTTCATAGGGCCGATCCTACTAATGGTCCTGCAGGACCTTCATACGGCCGGCCCTACTAATGGTCCTACAGGACCGTCATAGGGCCGACCCTACTAATGGCCCTGCAGGATCTTCATAGCGTCGGCCCAACTAATGGCCCTGTAGGACCGTCATAGGGCCGGCTCTACTAATGGCCCTGCAGGACCGTCATAGGGCCGGCCCTACTAATAGCCCTGCAGGACCTTCGTAGGATCGACCCTACAAATGGCCCTGCAGGACCTTCGTAGGATCGACCCTACAAATGGCCCTGCAGGACCTTCGTAGGATCGGCCATTCTAATGGCCCTGCAGGACCTTCATAGGGCCGGCCCTACTAATGGCCCTGCAGGACCTTTTCCTATCTGCTAGCTATAGTACTAGTTCATGAGGTGAAGAATCATGAATGTTTCAAAGTCGTCTCTGATTTTGATAAATAAAATATTCTCAAAGAAGGAATGATATGAAAGTCTTATAAAAAGAAAATTATTGTTTTGGTCCAAATTATTAATTTACAAGTTGTGTTATGTGCCTAGCAACAAATTAACTGTTATTATCTTTAGCCCCACCTATCTCCTATCTGCCATAGATCGACCAAGTTCATAAGTCTGAAGAATACAAAATTATTCAGAGAAGTCTCTGAGTTGGATATATAGATGATATAAATTCTCATCACATTATAATATAAATACTAAAGAAGTGACATGTTCATGAATAATTTAGAAGTGTCAAAATTCTAACGAGTCTCGTAAAAATAAATCCGTATACGTGTAAACTATTTTTCATGATGTGCGTAAGACTTTTTCTTTTTTTTGGTTATCCCACATATATAATGATTTTCTAATGCATAAAGTGCAACTTTGGGAGGGACACAACCGGCTGGATAGCCAATGGTGTCAAAACGGCCATGCCGGACAAGCACGGCCCTTCTGACCCAAGCTCATCATGAGTCTGGACTGGCCCAAGCACGGCCCTCTACAGTAGAGGATCGGGCCTGAGGGGAGATCCTCAAGCCCAACCCTTTATGGACTAGCCCTACTAATGGTCCCGGCCCTACTAACGGTCCTGCAGGACCTTCATAGGGCCGGCCCTACTAACGGCCCTGCAGGACCGTCGTAGGGCCGGCCCAACTAACGGCTCTGCAGGACCTTCATACTAATGGTCCTGCGGGACCTTCATAGGGCCGGCCCTACTAATGGTCCTGCAGGACCTTCATACTAATGGTCCTGCGGGACCTTCATAGGGCCGGCCCTACTAATGGTCCTGCAGGACCTCCATAGGGCCGGCTCTACTAATGGTCCTGCAGGACCGTCATAGGGCCGGCCCTACTAATAGCCCAGCAGGACCTTCATAGCGTCGGCCCAACTAATGGCCTTGTAGGACCGTCACAGGGCCGACCCTACTAATGGCCCTGCAGGACGTTCATAGGGCCGGCCCTACTAATAGCCCGGTAGGACCTTTATAGGGTCGGCCCTACAAATGGCCCTGTAGGACCTTTGTAGGATCGGCCCTTCTAATGGACCTGTAGGACCTTCATAGGGCCGGCCCTACTAATGGCCCAGCAGGACCTTTTCCTATCTACAAGCTATAGTACTAGTTCATGAGGTGAAGAATCAGGAATGTTTCAAAGTCGTCACTAATTTTGATAGATAAAATATTCTCAATGAAGGAATGATATGAATGTTTTATAAAAATAAAATTATTGTTTTGGTCCAAATTTTTAATTTCCATGTTGTGTTATGTCTCTAGCAACAATTTAACGGTTATTATCTTTAGCACCACCTATCTCCTATCTGCCATGGATCGACCAAGTTCATGAGTTTGAAGAATATAGAATTATTCAGAGAAGTCTATGAGATGGATATATCGATGATATAAATTCTCATCACATTATAATATAAATACTAAAGAAGTGACATGTTCATGAATAATTTAGAAGTGTCAAAATTCTAACGAGTCTCGTAAAAATAAATCCGTATACGAGTAAACAATTTTTCATGATGTACGTAAGACTTTTTTTTTAGGTTATGCCACATATATAATCATTTTCTAATGCATAAAGTGCAACTTTGGGAGGGGCACAACCGGCTGGATGGCCAATGGTGTCAAAGCGGCCGTGCCGGACAAGCACGGCCCTTCTGACCCAAGCTCGTCACGGGTCTGGACTGG